TTTTTTTTTTCTTTTCTTTGCTGGTACCAGGGATCAAACTCAGGATCTTGTGCTTGCCAGGCAAGCACTTATTCCACTGAGCTATCTCCCCAGTCCCCGTCATCCTTTGGAAACAGCAAGGGAAATAGGTATGCCATGCAACCTCTCTGAGTGGGTCATTACTCCAGTTTGGCCTCTGGGGCACAGCTAGAGTGCAGTGGGTAGGGTAAGAGGGAGGAACACCTGCAGCATGACCTACAGTTGCAACCTAGAGAACATAGGATTCCTGAAACGTAAGAACTTGGCCTTTGGATAAATGAGGTGGTTAGGGCTCGGCATGGTGGCACACAGCTATAAAGCCAACACGCAGGAGGTTGAGACAGGAGGACTGCCAAGAGTTTGAGGCCAGCCTGGGCTACATAGTAAGTTCAGAGCCAGCCTGGACCATATAGCGAGACCCTGTCTCCAAAAAACAAAACACAAAATAACAAAGAGGCAGCTAGAACACAAAGAACAAAGTAGAGCTAAAGGACAATGGGAGGGCTGGGGAGATGGTTCAGTGGAATAAGCGCTTCCCTGGAGAGCACAACCACCTGAGTTCAATCCCCGTTCCACCAAAAAAAAGAAAAAAGAAAAAAAAAAAGGACAATGGGGGACTTTGAGTAGCCAGGGATGCTGCTATATATCCTAAGATGTGAGGCATCCTTGATCCTTGTATTGTTTATTAAATCCCTTTAAAGTACTACCAGAAAGGATCCTATCCTAAGGGGACAGATAACAAAGTAACATGGTACAAGGGAGGAGGATAAAGTGACAAAAGGAGCACTATATAATCCATGGAGACAAGAAAGAAAGAGGCAAATGAGAAATCTGAGGATTCCAGTGCATCCCTGGGTCTGAGTCTCTCTCTCTCTCTCTCTCTCTCTCTCTCTCTCTGTTTTTTTTTTTTTTTTTAAAGTTTTATTTTTACATTTTTATTTATTTATTGTGTGTGCGTGCGTGTGTGTGTGTGTGTGTGTGTGTGGCCAGCTCAGCCCAGCAGGGGGTGGGGCTGGCTGGCATGTGGTGCTGGGGGATTGAACCGCAGTCCACTGTGCTTTGCTAAGCTTGTTCTAAGTAGGTGCTTTAGACCACTGAGCCATCTCTCCAGCCCATCTGGTTGTCTTTTGAAATGGAGTCTCCCTATGCAGTTTTGGCTGGCCTTAAACTTACTATGTAGCCCGACTGACCTTGAAATCTCGGCAATCCTGTCTCAGCCTCTTGAGTGCGTGTGCCACCACGCCTCACCTCTCTCATCCACTGTGCTCTCCTATCTGGTGCTGTGATCCGATTAGCATGGGGCCTCGACCCCGGAGGCTACACGTGTACCTAACACTGGTAAGGTACCCTAAGGGGTTCAGTGAGCTGCAGAGACAAGGGACCGTGAAGGGTGATCCAAACTAAGGGGGAGGGGAGGTCCAGGCTCTCTGGCTTCCCCCAGGAGACAGCATTGTCTTATGAAGACATGGGATGTGATACACCAACGCCAATATGTTATGAGTGACCACACTAGCCTCAGCTCAGCCATACGACACTGCTAGTGCCTGGCTGCAGTCAGTAAAATGCGCAGTGCATGTGGTGAAGATGCAAGGCGGGGGACGATCGGAGAGCCTGCAGTCAAGTCGAACTACGAAATACGTTTCACCGAAAGGGATCAAGCCCGCTTAAACTGAAGCCTCGGTGCCGGGACCTCTGGATCGGGTCTCCGGAAGCACGTGGTAGGGGGAACTGGCAGTGCCGGTAGAAAGTGGGGATCGGATCCGGGATCGCTGCACGCAGGCAGGGGTCACTCTCGTCAGACCTCACCAGGCCAGGGATCAGCTGCGTCCCATAGGACACCAAGCAGCTCTCTCCGTGGTCCCGCCCCCCGGACGCTCAGCCTCTGCTTAGCACCCCCCAGCACGCCCACTCCAACCTCACCGGGTAGGTTCCCGGCTCAGCTGGGGAGGCAGGGCGGCCGCCGGGATTCGGCTAATCGAGGGCCCGCGTTCGAATTTGCGTCCCAGTGCGACCAATCACAAGAAGCCTTGGCGGGTGGGGCAGGGGGCAGGGCCCTGGGCTGGCCAACTGGAGGACCCGGATCGTTTGAAAACGAGGCGGGGGCGGGCGGCGGGCTGCAGGCGGAGTGTGCGCTTGCGTTCCGCGGCTGGCGCAGTATCCGGGCGCGGGCGCGCTCTCGAGAGGGCTGGAATTGTGGCAGTGGCTGCGCGGCAATGGGGAGCGGCGGCGGTGAGTACTGATGGGCGCCCAGCGGAGAGAGGTCGCGCAGGTCCGAGCCCCGTGCAAGTTGGGCGCGGGCCTCTGCCACCGCAGCGCAGGATCGAGTGGGGCCCCTGACCTGGTTTAAATGCCCGCGGCTTCTCTTTGCCGATTTTTTGCGGATCAAACCATTGTGGCTTCTTGGAGTCAGGTGTCTGCGGGACGAGTGGCGGGGCTGCACCTGCACCCACTCACCTGGTGCCCTCCCCAGCAAACAAACACCTCCGCGGGTCCTGGCGCGCTGGAGGGCCGGATCGACGAGACACACAATTCCACTTTTGTATTATAGTGGTTATATCCCCAAGTATCTGTTCTTTAGCGAGGAAATGAATGAAATTTTTATGGTAATATCCGTATAATCTTTGCAAATGTTTTGCCCTGGGTGGGTGTTTGGCTTTGAAGTACGTTTAGCTGCTTGCAGGAAGACTTAGGGTCTTCTCTAGAGAGTCTCTGGGGAGGGATTCACGTAGAAAAGCAGTAACTTTCCTCAGGACAGTAAGGGTAACGAAGAAGACGTCAATTTGTGGATGGATCTTAAGGTTCCTGTCAAACAGAGGCCTTCCATCTTCCTATGAAATAAGAAAGCTGTCTGCCTAGAATGAGAAAGGAGTTGCTAGAGGTATTGAAGACACCTTGCTGAGTGTAAAGGACTTGTCTCTGGGGGTCTAGGTCTAGGTTTTCTGTTGGGATTTTCACCACCTTGCAGGGTAGCCATTGATTCCCCATTTTACGGAGGAGGATCCTAGGAAACCATCGCTGGGCAGCTGTGACATCTGCTGAATTGAGCCTCCAGGTTTTTTGCTTTCCTACAGAGCCAGCCCTCCTAGCTGGGCTCCAAAAGCAGATTCTTCAAGCTCATAAAGCATTAGTGAATACTATGCTTTTTTGTTACATGAAGCAAAGATAACTAGCAAGGATCTGAGGTGTTTTTTTTTTTTTTTTTTTTAAAGAATGGCTTTTTTTTTCCCCCTTTCCTAGTTATGTGGGCTCTGGATGAGAAAGTTACCAGTAGCCAAGTTACTTGGTAACTGTTCTTCACTATGAATATTAAATGCTGAACAAATGATGATGTCTTCCAAATTTATATAATGCTACTTTATTTAATCTTTGGGACAAGTCAACTTGTTCTTTGTGGTGCAGGGGTAGTAACTTAGATCATTTTCAGATACTACTGTTAATCAAGACTTACAAGTTTTTCTTTTTCTTTTAAGTAATCCACTGTAGGTGTGCCAAATGTTTCTGTTACCCTACAAAACGAAGAATAAGGAGGAGACCGCAATACCTATCAATCTTAAGTCTACCAGAAGATGTGCTCTTTCATATCCTAAAGTGGCTTTCTGTAGGAGACATCCTTGCTGTCCGAGCTGTAAGTCACCTGATGAAAACAATTCCAGTGCTGGCATTGTTGAATATACCATGAAAGCTTCAGAGGGCCAGCGAAATGGCTCAATGGACTAAGTACCTGCTCAGGCAAGCACAGGGACCAAGGTTTGATCCCTAGCCCCACATGCCATGCTGGCCCTGCCCCCAGGCATGCTGAGTTGCCTCCAAAACTAGGTGTGGTGGCACATGCCTGTAATCCCAGCTCTGGGGAGGCTGAAAATAGGAGGATCACTATGAGTCTGAGCTGCATAGCAAAATCCTATACCAATACATAAAAAAAAAAAATAAAGCCTCAGAATCTTATATGTCAGAACAAAAGTTTGGCTACAAAAGAGGGCAAAAGAAATAAGGATGATATTATTAATAGATGATTGAAGATGTTGCAATTACAGGACAGCATGCTAAAGTTCAATTTTATTCATTATAATGTTTATTTCAACAAAGAAAGTATCTTTTTATGACAGTAAAGTTTGTGTCCCTTAAGCGATAATATCAGCACTGGGGAGGGTGAGGCAGGAGGATTGCTGCCAGCCTGAAATGCACAGTAAAACCCAACTTCAAAAAGACCAAAAAAAAAAAAAAAAAAAAGGACATAAAATAGGCTGGGAATAGTGGTACATGCTAATAGTCCTATCACCTAGGAGGCTGAGTAAGGAGAATTTCAAGTTTTGAGGCCAGCCTGGGCTACATAGTGAGATCCTGTCTAAAAGAAAAAAAAAAAAAAATGTATTACAAATTTTTTTTTTTTTTTTTTGTAATGGGAATTGAACTCAGGACCTCATGCTTGCCAGGCAGGCACTGTGCCCTACAAAGAGTTCTTGAGGACAAATCCCATGTAACATGCAATGTTGGAATGAACTGGAGGAATTATTTTGGAACAGCCTCACTTTGGTGAACTATCCTAGGATATACACCCAAGTGGTAGGAAATCCCCAACCAGAACCCATTTCCTGGCCCTCAAATCTACCTCCATTTTATTTATAATTTACTGATGGAACTCATAGAGTTCTGGATTCCTGACAGCAATGAGAACTTTTGCATTTAAAATGTTCACTTGTGCTTAGGATCCTGGTCTCGGTATTTTCTGTCCAGAAGCTGTTTTTTCCTTGAGTCCCTGTGATCTCCAGACTCTAGATAGTGTTCCCACTAGCAAGGGCCTAAGCAGAGAAACACAAGACAGCTCTTACTCCTGCCTGTTTTCATTTAGAGTTGGTTTCCTCGGTTCTTGTAGGTATATCTCTTTGCAGGAGTGCCATGTCATTCTTTCTCAATCTAGATGTTAGTTTTCTTCTGGGGCCATAGTCTTTTCCCTCTTAGAACCTCAGGGAAATTCATTTCTTACCTCTATTGTCCATATAACACGCTGTCTTTGATACAAAGAGACTGAGTCTTCTACTGCTTGAGTTTAGGCAAGAGACAGGATGCCTGGACTCTGTGATGTCCTGTTTTCAGGAGTCCCTAGGAGCAGGGGCTTGGGGTCAGTCCTTCAGTAATCCCCCCTTGGTTTCCATTGTTCTGTAGGTACACTCCCACCTGAAGTACCTGGTGGATAACCATGCCAGTGTTTGGGCATGTGCCAGCTTCCAGGATCTGTGGCCTTCTCCAAAGAACCTGAAGCTCTTTGAAAGGTATCACTGCACCCTGAAAAACAGATGACTTGAATTTTTTTCTGGTCTTTGGGCCCCTCATGTGCCAGCATGTACCCCAAAGCCTAATTCAGAAACTTTTATTGGGGGCTGGGGCGATAGCTCAGTAGAATAAACATTTGCCTGGCAAGTGCAAGGGCCTGAGTTCAATCCCCAGTTCTGCCAAAAAAAAAGAAAGAAACTTTTATTAGTGCTGTTTCCCAGGGCATTGGTTCATAGCCCCAAGAATGAATGACTGAGGGTGGCGGACCTGCACCCACTGAGCCATACCACATCCAGCAGTCCACATCATCATCCTTCGTCTTTGCCTGTTGCACTTCCAGAAGGTCTCCCTTGGGTTGTGGCCTATTCCCATGTGACTCGAATATGAGTCACCTGCCTTTGGAAGCTTTATTCAGCTTTCTTTTAGCAGCAACTTTCCTACAGTCAGCTTGCAGTCCTATTGCATTTCACCCACTTGGTGGTTCCACCCACCTGTAGTTGTGCTGCTGAGAAAAGGCTGGAGGGGACACAAGGCTTGTAGTCTGCGAGCCCAAGTGCCAGCAACCAGGCCCACTAACCAAGAGCACTGGTGGTTTGAACCAGGAAGTTCAGCTTGAGACTTCTAATTTACCAAACTGAGAGACCATAATTCAGGAGGGAATCTTCCTGACTAGAGTTTGCTCTGGCCTCATTGACTTGAGCTGCCAAAGATCCAGGTAGCTCTAACAAGTGTACCATGACTGTATTTCTGTAGCTGTAGCTTGAGCTGCTTCTGGATGAAATTTGCATATTTCTTAGAAACATAATTCATGTACCAAACAGGTCCCTCATTTAAACTGATTTTTTTTGTATATTCAAATTATGCAAATATCACCACTTTATTTTATGTCTCTGGATTTGCCTGTTCTAGACATTTCACGTGAAGGGAATGATAATATATGCCTTTTGTGACTAGCTTCTTTCACAGAGCATATATTTCAAGGTTTATCCATATAATAGCATGTAATAGATAACTGATATTTATGTTGCATAAAATTTTTTTCAATTCAAAAGCAAATATTTCAGCTTCCAATGCTTGGGTGAGATATAACCTTTATGGCTTAAAATCCTGTGATGTTATGTATTCTTAATGTTTTAGGGCTGCTGAAAAGGGAAATTTTGAAGCTGCTGTGAAGCTTGGCATAGCCTACCTCTACAATGAAGGCCGTAAGTCACAGCCCCTTACTGTTGACACTTTACACAAGCACCCTCTTTTGGCCTTTTTGAGATACATACTCAGCCTAAGTAATTTGGGTTTTGGAGCCAGGGTCTTACTATGTAGCTCAGGCTGGCCTTGAATTCTCTTATGTAGCCCAGGCTAGCCTCAGACTTGTAGCAGTCCTGCCTCAGCCTCCCAAGTGCTGGGATTATAGGCACGTGCTGCCATGCCCAGCTTGATGAGCAGTTTAGGTACTCTTCTTGCTCTATCTGTCACTTCATGATACCTTGTACCAAGGGATGCCTTGTAAGGGGAGATCCATTAATGTTTTGACCTTAGATCCAAGAGAGTCATCTCTTATTTTAGCAAGTCCTAAGATTGTACAGAGTCTCAGAATGGAGCTGTTTGGACAAACCATGCTGTCATCTTCAGACTGATTAACATTGAGGTCCATGTGTAGATAAGACTTTTCCCTGGTCTGTGGTTTGTGGAATTTAGGGATAGTGTGTTAGTTACTCTTGTTGTTGCTAGGACAAATACCCTACAACCAAAATAAAGGAAGGAAAGGTTTATTTAGCTTACAGTTAGTGGAGGTTTCAGTCCATATTCAGCTGGCTCCAAGGCACATGGCATAGAGAAGCTGTTCAAGGTAGTGGGCAAAGAGCAGAGAGAAAAGCAAGTGGCTGCAGCTCTGGTAGCTAGCTAGCCCCTCTCTCCTCCTTATATTGTAACACACATTACTCACCCCAGGGCCAGAGTGTAGCATGCATACCTGCTATCCCAGCATTGGATCAAGAATCAATCACAAACTCCAGAAGCTGCCTGAGCAATTAGACACAAACCTTAACAGGCTGAGATGCATGCCTGATTGCACAAGGTGTCAGTAACCTAGGCAGCTCAGGTACAATGCAAGAGGCAGGTCAGAGCCAGCCTTATGGTTGGATTCCTTTACCCCAAAGGCCATGTGCTCCTTCAGAGATCCTTGTGAAGGCTCACCTTCTGTTTATCAACTTAGCGTCTCAAGGAATGAGCCCACAGTCTGTGTTTTCTTAGATCCCAATACATATCATGGGCTGGTGAGATGGCTCAGTGGTCTAAAGCACCTACTTAGAACAAACTAAGCCAAGCAAAGCACAGGGACCACGGTTCAATCCCCCAGCACCACATGCCAGCCAGCCCCGCCCCCTGGTGGGCTGAGCTGGCCACACACACACACACACACACACACACACTAAATTAAAAAAAAAAAAAATACATATCATGATTGGGTTGTAGCCTGACATTTTCTTGCTTCTGAAAGATCTGATATTTTGAGCTGGGGAATGTAGCCTAGTGCTAAGAATGCTTCCCTAGCATGCTTGGAGCCCTAGGTTCAACACCTAGTACTACATGGGTGGAGTGGGGATTTGTATTAGGGAAGCTGAGGCAGGAGAATTGAAAGCTCCAAAACCAGTCCAGGCAAATTAGTGAGACCTTGTCTAGTTATAAGGACTGGGGATATTGCACAATGGTAGAGTATCTTGGGTTCAGTCCTCAGTATCATAAAAAAAAAGTCTAAAAATTTGGTTTTTGGGCGGCAAGATAGCTCAGCGGACTTAGCGCCTGCTTAGGCAAGCACAGTGACTAGGTTCAATCTCCAGCACCATATGCCACGCAGGCCCTGCCCTTGGGCATGCTGAGGTGACCACCGAGTCTGGACATGATGGCTCATGCCTGTAATCCCCTGTAATCCTAGCACTGAGGAGGATGAAAACAGGAGAATTGCTATGAGTCTAAGCTGCATAGTGAGACCCTGTATCAAATACATTAAAATAAATAAATCTGGTTCTTTCCTAAAGATAGGCCTTGCTTTTGACCAGCTGACAAAACTACTGCAAGTAAGTAGCCCTCTTCAGCCCAGGAGAGCTGAGATCCTGCACCCATGCTTCGTCAGATGGCAGTTCTCAGACTAAGCTCATGTTACTACATTTTACAGTTTAGTGGGCTTTTTGCAGTATTGGGTTTTCAGTTATTTTTTTGAAGTAGGATTTCTCTAGGTTGCCCAGCTTGGTCTTGAATTTCTAAACCTGCTGTCTCAACCTCCCAAGGAGCTGAGGTTGCCAGCATGTGCCCCGATGTCCAGTGGTTTTTAATATATTTACAGAGTTATATATTCACTGTCTAAAACACTCTGATCATGGAAAGAACCTCTCCCCATTGCCCCATTAGCCAGGGGTCAGACAGCAATTTCCTACAGGAAGAAAGGTGGAACTGGCTCTGTGGGGAGTACCTTCCTTTGATGTTAGAATCCATGCTTCCAGGACTCTAGCAGAGCCTACAATCACAAAGACAACTGAGCTCCTCTGGGCTTAAATGGGAAGAAAGGGAAAGTGCCCCCAACCAAGGGGACTTTTCTTTCTTAAAACATGAGCAACTTTTCTACAGTGGGTTTGAGCTTTTAGACTGTCCAGAAGAATTGGGGAACTTTCTTATTTCCATCTCCCTGAGACATCCCTGGGTTCTCTCCTGTCTGTCCTGCAGTGTCTGTCTCTGATGAGGCCCGAGCAGAAGTGAATGGTCTGAAGGCCTCTCGCTTCTTCAGTCTGGCCGAGCGGCTGAATGTGGCTGCCTCACCTTTTATCTGGCTTTTCATCCGCCCGCCTTGGTCTGTGTCTGGAAGCTGTTGCAAGGCTGTGGTCCATGAGAGTCTCAGGGCAGAGTGTCAGCTACAGAGAGTAAGTCCTGGGGAGGGGTAGTACCTTTGAGGCCACCCACAGGGTCTGGTGACACAGGAAAACCCATGGGTAGACCCTTTTGGCCATGTAAAGTTGGCAACCCAGAGGGAGTAGAGGCGTAGAACATTGAGTATAGATGTAGGGAGGGCTTTGGGCCTGGAGTGGATGGCAGAACTTTTGGTGAATGTGTTACAGCTGGAAACTTGGGACTCAGGCTACATTAAATTAGCCAGAGATAAAATTTGGTATTGGGGATGGTCCTGTTCATAAGGTGGGGTGGAAAAGTGCTCCCCTAACAGTTCTCTCCTGAGACTTACACTTCTCTTTCCTTCTTTTTTTTTTTTTTAAAGACTCATAAAGCATCCATACTGCACTGCTTAGGAAGAGTACTGAATCTTTTTGAGGTTAGTAAAGCTGTTCCCTGCACTTTGAATTTTTGCCTGGTTTGACACATCCAGGCTGGGATCCAGGAAGTATATGAGAAGCAGCAGAAGGCATCAAAGGTCAATGCAAAAGCAAAGTCCCACCCTGAGAGGCCACAGGGGGCTGGGCAGTGAATCCTGGCTCCATCCTCACTACCTGAAAGGGCAGGTTGCTGGTGGGTTATGTGACCTTACTCTTGAATAGTTGTGTGAAATGGTACACCATGGGCAAGAGGCAAAATAGCAAATGTAGCAAGAACTGAGCAGACAGTGCTGTGGCATGCTGGAGTGATGGTTCTGCTAATGGTGGACTTCACCTGCTGGGGAGTTGGATTATCTATTTTTTTTTTTTCTTGAGGTTTTGATAAGCTTTGTAATCTCAGTGAAGGCCTTCTGTGTTAGATTTAAGGAAGATCATAATTTTTCAAAGTATTAGGGGCCCGGAGGGACAGTGAGGAGTTAGGGGAGCCCAGAGAGCCATCAACTCTACTGTGTAGGCTCAGGACATTTCCTTTAGCAGTAAGAGTAAAGGGCAGGCCTTGGGTGATCCAGAGCTGAGCTAGGGAATCCGCCAGCCAAACCCACACACAAATCTCCAGGAAAAGCAGAGCCCCTGACACTAGAGCTCCAAATAGGCATTTTTCCTTGGTTGTCAAATGGTGCATCTTTAGAGAAGTCATTTCTACTCTGATTTAGTTAACGTGTCTGTTATCACAAGGAGTTTGATTGCTTAGGAATATGGAGGGGTGAGGGAGGCCAGCAGAATGAATTAACACTGAGTAGAAGATATAAAAAACAGCTGTGTTTGGTCTTTTGATTCTAGGATGAAGAGAAAAAGAATCAGGCCCATGACCTGTTCGAAGAGTCTGCTCGTCAGGGATGCTTAGCCAGCTCGTACCTCCTCTGGGAAAGTGACAGAAAAACAGATGTGAGTGGACCAAGGTTTGGGGAGAGGAAGAGCGTGCTGGCCACAGGCATAGTTTCTAAACTGGCCCTCAGATAGGACTCTTGGCAAAAGGGAGGACCCTCTTACAGCCTCTGGGAGCTATCAGGCAGCAAGCTGCTGCCAGTACTCTCAAAACCCCCACCATTGTTCGGAGATAAAGGCTGGGGACCCAATACAGTCACGCACTTTTCTGGAGGTTGGAGAGGGGCAATTAAGAACTCCATGGGTCAGTTCTGAGTTCCTCTGGAGACATAACAGGATAAAGGCAACTTCTTCCTGTTGACAGATGTCAGATCCTGGACGATGCCTCCATAGCTTCCGGAAACTCAGGGACTACGCTGCCAAAGGCTGCTGGGAAGCACAGGTGAGAAGGGAAACTGGTCTTTTCTTCCTACAGCTTTGGGGAAGGACGATCTGGGCTTGAAAAAGGAGACTGAAGGATATAGTAAGATGGGTCCAGGGCTGGAGTTGAATCTCCTTTTCTTGGAGACAAGGTCTATGTAGTTTATATTGGCCTTGAATTCGCTGTGTGGTACAAGTTGGCCTAAGACTTGTGGCAATCCTCCTGCCTCTGTCTCCTGAGTGCTAGAATTAAGGCATGTGCCTGACTGGAGCTGAATCTTTTTTTTTTTTGGGAGGGGGGACTAAATCTTAAAGGCATTTAGCTCTTTGCTATGCAAGGAGAAGATCCCAGAAGTGCCTCACTCAGTTCTGTTCATGGCTACTCTTGCCTCTTGGCTGCCAGCCTTTTGATTCTAAATGCTAGTGGGGTATACCTACTACCAGAATGTGCACTACTCTAAAAACTTATGCTGTAGGTAATTTTGTTTTTTTCATCTTTATTTATTTGATATAGGGTCTCACTACACAGTTCACACTTGTAGTGATCCTCCTGTCTCAGCCTCCCCAGTGCTGGAATTACAGGCGTGCACCACCACACCCAGTTTACATGGTCTGCACAGCATGGTGTACTGGGGATTAAACCCAGGTCCTTGTGCTTGCTAGGCAGGCGTTTAGATTGCCAAGCTGTCTCCCAAACCCGTTTTGTTTGTTTGCTTGTTTGTTTTGTTTTTCTTTGTCTATTTTTCAGGGTCTCATGTAGTTCAGGCTGGCCTTGAACTCACTTTGTAGCTCAGGCTGGTCTCAGACTCACAATGCTCCTCCTGCTTCAGCTTCCCAAGTACTGGGATTACAGGTGTGTGTCACTACTCCCAGCTAGTAATATTTGTCCTGACAATGAAAATTAAAGCTACATAAAGCAGAGGGGCACACAAAGTGTTTTAATGTCCTTGTTAGCAGCTAGCCTTGCTCAAGTCATTTAGCCAGGAAATCCAGGATTTGTTGTCCTTTATCAGACCATTTCCCCTTATACCTGCAAAGAGGTTTCAGGACAAATAAGTAAGTCTTCCTCCCCCTTGCAACTCACCTAGAAGTGTGATAGAAAGTCATTTACCAAAAAAAA